TTTAGGGTTTGCGGTGTAGGGTTTTAGGGTTGGGCAGAGGAGCCAGGCAAAGTTTGAACAAGCTCACTGTTCAGGGTTCTGTTTTGGGTTTAAGCATAGGGTCCGCTTCCTGTACGGCTTAAGACGGTTCTTGAAGATGGGTCCTTCAGGGATCTGAGGCAGTAAAACCGAATCCAAAAAAATGTCCCGGAGTTCTGGGGTTAGCTACTATCAGGGGTTTCCCTACTATCCCCCTCTAAACTACCCCCCCCGGGGGTCCCCCCTTAGTTAACTTTAATTAGGCCTAACTATCCCGAAATAGCCTGGGAACCTCTGATACTAAGGATTCTAGAGGTGCATTCGCACGAACGCCCCTAACAGTTCACTTGAAGCACATAAGCGCCCTCCAGCCCTAGACCCTAAACCCGTTCAATTCAATCCGCCAGCCTAAAACCGTGGCTTCCAAGAACAAACGCCGGAGAGCTGGTAGAGATGACATCTTCCCCATCAGAACAGGAGGAGTTTATGTAGTCTTCTTAGCCCCCAATAATAAACATGGTAGGACTGTAGGTCCCCACCAGTAGTGCACCTTAAGCGTACACTTCACATGTAAAGCATAAGCCTTAAATGGTACTTTCCCTAAATAGGAGAACTCCACTATAGACCCTAAGATACGATCGTCGTTGTTATAGGGACACCAAAATTTGGCACCCCGAATGTTGGTAGACCCCAAATTTACACCAGGAACCCTAGAAACCCTAAGCACCCAGAACCCCAAGAACCCTAAACCCTAAACTCTAATCCACTAAACCTTTTTTGAGGAGACTTACCTCTTTCACCGTCCCTCTGACATGCCTGAGAATCCAGAACCATAATCCCTCAACTCGAAGCCCTAATTAAGAATCCAGAACCCTAAACCCTAAACCCTAAGAACCAAAAACCCTGAGAACTCTAAACCTTGAGCCCTAAGCTAGGACATTTCTTTGCTCGACCTTATCCTGGCTCTTGCCGGGGGCTCAGCGCATGGTTGTATCAGGAGGGACCCCTACAAGGGACCCCTAATCCCAATACCTTATAGAACCCTTATATAGGCTTTGTATACTTCCGATATAACCAGGTAGTACCCCTATTACTAAGTTCTGGGGTCGTAGACTAAACATCTCAGAGTTTTGGTCTCAGGTTTACGGGTTTAAAGGTTTGGGGGTTTAGGGCTTAGGAGTTTAAGGGTTTAGGGGTTTAGGGCTTAGGGTTTAGGAGTTTAAGGGTTTAGGGGTTTAGGGGTTTAGGGGCTTAGGGTTTAGGAGTTTAAGGGT